CTTCGGCTGCTCCCAAAATCAGCCTAGTTTTCCAAGAATCATTTTCGTTAACACCTGAGCTTAAACAAGTTATACCATGGTCATTATGAATCCTGGATTAAGAATCTCTGGATCCTGGAGGCCTACCTGCTGGGGCCATCCTAGAAGTAAAGAAATAAGAGAAAAAATGACGGCCTCCTCCTTGTTGTTCCTTTATTATCGACTCACAGAACCTAACCTCCTGAGAATCTAATGTCATATGGCATTTGCCAGTCATGACTCACATCTCACCAAGTGATTACTCCGACATCGTTCTCAGAGGATACATGCCAGGAGCCACCATCTAACCATGCCGTCCAAAAGTGGAAAATGAAGAGGCTTGAGAGATCTTGGGGTCACTACAAATTGGCGTCATTATAGAGAACAGAGCCCAGACTCCTCTAACCAGTGCCATTCCAATCATCAGAAAAATATTTCAAAGTCCCAGCCAGCAGCAACTCAGAAAGTGCTGTTGACTTGCCTAAAACAAATCATTTGCACACAAATATCTCAGATTCCATAATGTCATACTCCTACCCAGACAGTAATCCCAAATTCCCTAGCGTGGCATGCAAGTCTCTTGAAAACTGAGGTCACAAACCCAAAGCCCTCCAGGACTAAGCAGGGAACGTAAAGCAACTGGACTGCGGCAAGAGAGAGCACAGGGACTACGACAACTGGAGACTACAAGGCCTGTCTCCCGTCCACAGGGGGAGCCACCAGTCAGCTCTAGAGGCCCAACTGGTCTGATTCTTAAGAGTCCCAAATCCAGAGGTTTTCTGGATTGTTCCCAGTTTTTTAAAACCTTTGAGTAGTCCAAATTATAACATGTCTGTAAGCTGAAAACACTCTTTGGGCCACCCGTGGATAAGCCCCACACTATATTTCGACCCAAACCTACATTTTCAACCTGATTTCTCCCTACTCCCTAACAAGAACCCTCTGTTCTTCACTCCTACACATACTGTGTACATCCCTAACTACAAGCCTTTGCTCACGTTACATCCCCTCCCACCTATGCAGCACCATGAGACACCCCAAAAGGCTCATCCCCACATCTTCTTCCCTATTCCAAACAGTTTTTCCAAGCCACTACAGCACAGGTTGCTTGCCCCTCCTCTGACCCTACGAGTACTTATTTTTCATTTTGGCATTTAATCATCGTGCCTTGTTCCTTAATCACTGGTATATCTTATTTCTCCAACTAGTTTATAAACTTTTAACCTCTTCCTCATGCTTCCTTCCACCTTCAGCACTAGGAAAGGTGGCTCTGCACATGAGCAGCTTAATAAATACTAGATGTGAAAATTCTCTATAACTGTTTTTCAAACTGTGGATTATGATCCACTACAGAGTGGTTAAACCAACTTAGCGGGAGATAATAAGCATTTTTAAGGGAAAAATAATAGAAAATAAAAGTATCAGACAAGATTGCACCAAGCAAAGGGAGGTAGTACTTGATGAACTTAGATTTTTACATACATGATTGAGTGTACTAGGTCGTGATGTGCATTTTCTTTTTTTTTTTTTTAAAGATTTTATTTATTTATTTTTTTCCCCCCAAAGCCCCAGTAGATAGTTGTATGTCATAGCTGCACATCCTTCTAGTTGCTGTATGTGGGACGCGGCCTCAACATGGCCGGAGAAGAGGTGCGTCGGTGCGCGCCCGGGATCCGAACCCGGGCCGCCAGCAGCGGAGCGCACGCACTTAACCGCTAAGCCACGGGGCCGGCCCTATTTCTTAATGTCAGTTATGGTTGAAACAGTGCAGAAAACACTGCTCTGTAAAGAGTAAATTAGCTCAACCACTGCTCCCTGCAAATTTTTTTTTTGACAGTCATATACTCCCTATAAAGGAAAAACATCCAATGGACGCCTCTCCCAGAAAGTCAGCTTCCCCTGCTAGTTCACTAATTCTGCATCTCAAAGAAACAGGGAGGCTAAGGAACTGCAATTACATTCTTCGCTCATTCTGCAACTTTTTGCAATCATCCTTCAAATTCACCAGCCCTCAGATGTTGCAAGTTGAGGCTTGAGGAATTTGTTCAGCAAACCACCCTAAGTCACCCTTGCAACAATAAAAGCAGAATTCAGAGCTCAGGAAAAACTGCACTAGCTCCCCTCTGCCGGCGGGCCGCTGGATCCCTGGGAACTGGCAGTGGTGTGGGTGAGGACTGACCCGGCCCTGGGAAAGGCAGTATCCCCAGGCCCAAAATTTCCTCCTTGCTCCTTTAGATCATCTTGCTGCGCCCCCATCTTGTTGCTTCCCCACACACACCTATGAAGGGACACCAAGACTAGCTTGAAGATCTCACTGGAAAGCAAAATTCAACTTGTTTCAAAGCCCAGCAGTTTACATGTTTAGCAAATTCCATTCTAATTCCCTCCAATCCCAGCCTCATGGTTAGAAGAATAAGTGTCCCGCCCTCCTTGGAGTCTCAATTCCCTAGAGTCACTCTGCCAACTTCAGGTTCAGTACCAGGTGATGTCATTTTAATGGCAATACAAAACAGAGCCTTGCAATTCAGACCCTCAGTCCCACTCAGTAGCATCCTCTACTGCCTCTCTGTGACGAAGAAGATGTCACATTTATCCTCAGGAGTGCCTTCCCTCTCCCGGCTTTGGCAGCCCTTCCCACACTACACACTCTGGTTTCCCACCAATCTCAGAGCGCGGCTGCTTACACAGGACACCTATGTCTGGATGTCTCGGCAAACACAAGAAACTTCTCTGCAGCCTGAGCGTCAACTACTTCTCTCCAAAACACACATTTCCGATTTCTCCAGTTACCAACTACAGCAGCTCCAAGGCCCTGGCATGTAATCAATTTCCACAAAGAATTAATTTCCATTCATCTCCTCCTTTCACCCTGCCCCTGTCAACAGATTATTTCAACCGTAATGCTTCTAAAACCCACCCTCTTTTCCACGTCCAGTTATCCCAGCCCAAACCCTGGACACTCCACAACTGTAATAGCCTACTAACAGATTTGTCTCCTAACATTACTTTTTAAAATGTTTCCAATTAACATTTCATTACATCACAGACCTTTCACGTCTCCCCAGTACACACAAGGTAAAGTGCAATTCCCCATTCTGAATTTCTAGGACTTCCACAATCTCAACCATTGTTCATCTCCATCTTTATCTCCTACTGTTCAGGAAATGTTTCCTGGTCTGGCCAAGGCCATCTCCTTGTCTCTCTGGAAGGCCACGTTCATTCGCACCTCAAGGCCCATCTCAAGGGTGTCATCCTCCAGGAATACAGTCCTAGGAATTCCTGCCCATAGCTCCCTTCTCTGAACAATGAGAGCACCTTCTCCCCACCTCGCATTTTGACAGTTAATTGTGCACTATCTTGACGTTTTATTTCACATTCTCAAGTCTTTCTTCTCCTCCATGAGATTTCAAACCCTGGAGGAAATCATCTCATACATCTTTTGTATCCTCCCTCACTGAGACAACTGTTTGAACCTCCTCTCCTCTGGTAGTCCCTTTGTGACCTCTCGCACCTGTTACTTCTTCCTCTCTTGCTTTGGGGCCTTTGCCAGTGAGCTATTCTCCATATGCATCACTTATTACAGAACTCGGTACTCTAAATCCATTCCCAAAGGCTAACCTTTCCTTTGATATTCCCCTAGCCCCCCAGCATTTACAGTAATTTAGGCAGCCACAATACATTAATTTGAACTTGAGCTCTCAAATCACTTCCACCTGGTCAGTAGGCTGTCTGAGGCCTTAGATTTCGTTTGTGCCTCTTATCATCTCCAGAGAGCCCGGCATGGTGCTGAGAACATAGAAGAACCTCAAAAGTACCTGTGGAGTTGAACTTAATTGCTATGCTTCCTTGTGTCTCACGTTCCTCGAGACTCCGAACCTCTGTTCACACAACACCTAGGAAGGTGTCAAAAAGGGCTTCGATACCTGTTGATCACTCACTTTCAAGCAAACTGCACCAGATACACTTTTCTAAAAAGAAGCGTGTAAAGAACATAGCGGTGGCCTGTAGGTAACCCCTGCGCCTGAAGGCCTGGCATGCTGGGACCGCCAGCCTGGTGAAAGTGCTCCACATCCACCAGAATATTGGCCAGCACCGCCTCAGCCTGGCAGGTGGGCTTCTTTCGATTTCTGAGTCAATCCTAAAGTGAAGGTACTGAGCCCTGAACTGCAAAGCAGGGAAGAAAATGCTGCCTTTGAAATTGTTTGCACATGACAAACTCCCTGTCCATCCCCCCCACCCCCCGCCTCCCTCGGGCACCCCACATGCCCACGGTGCCAGCTCCAAAGAGGGCCAGGGGCCACCAGTGAGGAGAGGCAGGGTGAAACCGCGCGGAAGGAAGTGGGGGCGGACAGAAGAGGACAGAAGGGCAGGGGCCGGCCTCCGAGGTGGAGGGTGTGTCGCGGCGCGCGTCCCGGAGCCCGGCATTCGCTCGCTCGGTGGAGCGGGCAGGAACGCGCGGGGCGCCGGGAGGGCTGGGCTGGCAGCCCAGCCGGAAAGGGTCAGGGAGGGGGCAGGTCAATCTCCGTCGGAGAGGCGACTCCGGACAAGCGCTCAAAGTTGGGGAGGGGGTTCCTTCTCCAGCGCCGGCGGCGAGCGAAATAAACAAGGCGGCGCACGGAGAGCAGGCGGCCACCCCCCACCCAGCCGGCGCGGGCACTGCCGCAGCGCCCC